GTATTCCTGAGATAACAGGAGTATCTATAAGGGCCAGACCCAAAGTTCAATCTAGTTGGTCATCTCCTACTCAAAGTTCCATTTTTCCTCTCTCAAATGTTATTTTTGCTTTTAATTGTTGCAATAGGTCTCTGCCTAATAAAGGTTTCAGCGAATTAGGCATATATAAAAATTTGTGTATTCCCAACCGTTTTCCCGATTTAAATTTAAGAGATTTTAAAAAGTATGCCTTTTCACTTTAGCCAGTAGCTCCCCTGACCGTTACAAAATTATCATCCATAGTTGTTAAGCTTGATCCAAAACTGAAAATGTTGCCCCTGTATCTACTAGAAATTCTCTACTCCGTTGTCATGTCCCCAGCTTAATGTAACAGTGGATCCGGGTAGGCCCCCCCAGGTCCCCATCGATCTTCTTTAAGGTGGGCCTGTATCCTTCCTTCCTCTTTCTGTCTCTGGTCATTCATTTTTCCAATGTCCACATTCTTTACACCATGCACACTGGTCTCTTCCTAAGGGCCTTTTAGGTCCCACGCTCTTGAATTCTTTTCTTTCTTGTAACACCATTACCAACACCCGCCGGTCTCTTTTTTGGCTATCCTCTTCCCTGTTGCTAAACACCCTCCGTGCCTCATCTAGTAAAGTCTCCAGGTTCCTGCTTTCTGCAGGCTTCAATTTCTGCAACTTCCTCCGGATGTCGCTTGCTGATTGTCCGATGAACAGAGACCCTGACCGCTGAATCCCTATTTCTGACCCTGGGTCTAGAGGAGTATGCCGCCTCATAGTATCCTGTAATTTATCTAAAAATTCAGAGGGGGTATCCCTTGGACCTTGCCAAGTGGCATATAAAGCTGACCAATTAATTGTTTTCAGGGTAGCCCGCTCCATTCCTCTTCCAACCCAATCTCTGTATGTATTCAGCAATCTTACGTGTGCCCCTCTGTTAGGGTTCCAACGTGGGTCTTGTAAGGGGAAATATTCTTTTATATCCTCCCCTGTATCCTTAAGAAAGTCACTAGCCAGATCTTGGACTGTTTTCAGTATCAGCTGTTTCTCCATTTCTGTCATATGGTCTAATAACAATTGAATAGCATCCCAGTCAGGATTATGCTGTTTTATCAGAAACTGGAAATGTTTAGTCACCCCCACAGAATCACTTCGATAGTTTTTTGCCCCATTTTTCCATGTTTCAAGATCAAATGAGGAGAAGGGAACCTTTATTAAGACAGGCTCTCTGCTTTGTCCCACTGCTTCCCTCAGAGGTGCTTGTACCACTACTTTTTCTTTTTTACTCTGGGTGTGAGAGGAGACTGGACTACCGAAGGGTTCCCCTATCAGTCCTCACTTTTCTCTTGTTGTATTTTTACCAGAGGTTTGTAATGTTCCAGCAGGTCTCCTGTTTCAGGATCCCTTATTTTCCCCAATCTTGTACATCTCTCACTTATACTGCATGCTGAACAACACCTCTTGAACTTTCCTTTTCCTTCCTTCATATTTTCTTTCTCTAAAGCCAAAACCATTGGATCCTGTGGGCTCATCAGTCCACAGGCTGTTTGGTACTCGGGGAGATTTTGGAGGGTAAAGAACATGTCCGTGTATGAGACTTCATCCCACTTTCCCTCTCTCCTCAAAACCAACATTAGTATGTTTCCCAGGTTCCCACAATACGCTCTTTTAAGCTGACCTGAGTGCTCAATTCTGTCCCAGTCAGACCAATTCCCTTGACATTTATTACACTAAAAATCATTTCCAAGCTTTACCGAGACTTCTCTTCCCCATTAAAAACATGCGCTTCGTTCATCTCCTGCCGCTCTCCTCGCAGAGAACATGGAATTGCAGATCGGAACTCCACACTTGCTTCGCAGTCAGACTGCGTCTCGTTCATACAACAGTCACACAAAGAGGCCCCAGTGATCACAACATAAACCTCAACACATGATGTACAGTACCAGATTTTTACAACAGATGACAAGAACAATGGTTGCAACCCCCTGCTCCTGCCACCGTGGCCAGGAGAACCCAGGTTACCATTGGTCAGGGTGTACTACTTACCCTGCCACCACCTTTTGGGGACTCAAACCCCAGCCTCCCCGGGCGAGCACCAATGCTCTTTACCTCGTGTAGGACGTCTCCTCAGGGCTTACAGATATCCCCTCCTAAATCCACATACCTGGTCCCCCGAGGGTCCCTGTCTGCCCCCACAGTGATCGAATGAGCGAGGGAGGTCCTCTGAGAAGCCTCGAGGCGTGCCTAGGACGTCCCCCTCTCAGCCAGTCCTGCGGCTGGGCAGAGAGGGTCCCACTGGGGTCACCTAAATTGAAGCGTGGAAACAAACTCTACAACTCACAAAGAGTCATAAAGCAGGTATGTTTATTGCAGTGCTGGGTGCGAGGAGGATCGCTCCTCCTAGCTTGCACACCAACAGCACACTTTGCCAAAAATTTATGCAATGCAGATATACATATTCATGGGATTATGCAACACAAACATACGTATATATGAGCAAGGTGGGCTTAGTTTGCACAGACTCAGATCTGTCTCTGGTGGTCGTTTACTTCTTCAGGGGTCTTATCTTCCTCTTCCTCTTTTGTCCTTTAGATGAACTTTAGCCATTCATGCATGCTCTATTTGTACTTGGTGATCTCAGCAGCCTTTTAACCAGTTTTATGGTCAAGCTGACACCGTTATTCTTGTTATCCCCCCCTGCGTCTAACACACAGTCCCTAGCGAATACCAGTCCCTGATAAGCTTAGGCACCAGTCTCTAATAAACAAGTTTCAAAAGAACACTCAAGGTGTCAAAATAACATTCAAGGCAAACAAAATTTTTCCGAAATTGCAAAGCAGTTATTTCCCTGTATCACTACTTGTGACCTTAGGTCAAGTACTGCTCTTAAGCTGTGCCTTAGGGCATTGGGAGCCAGGAGCTGTATGTTCTCTGTTTGGAGGGCATCTGGGCAGTGTCTGTGTTACAGCCTGGGTTGGGATTTTTCTGGAGCAGCCCCTTCTCTCCCTGCTCTGAATCTAGGCATTTGAGAGATAGCCAGTACGGCTGAACAATCTGGCTTGGTAGGTGTCATGGTTTGAGCCTGGTTGGCAGCCAAACACAATGCAGCTGCTTGCCCACCCTCCACCACTTGGGAATGGGGAGGGAATCGGAGGGGCAAAGGGAGACTCAAGGGTTGAGATAAAGACAGTTTAATAAGAGTAATAAAATAATACAGTGACAGTATAAATGGGTAATGTGCAATGCAATTGCTCACCACCCGTCGACCGACACCCTGCCAGCTCCCGGCTAGCGATCCCATAGACAAATACAAAGCTTGACTCATTTGGGGCTCCCCAGTGTCTTCAGAAGTGACTCCTCTGGCAAACCAATGTCCCTGAGGACACGGCTGGTTTGTGGCTGTAGTGCAGAGTTTACTATTGGCTATTAAAACATTAGGAAGTCCTCTGCTGATTAAAGGATGAAACGAAACCTCTCAAGGTCTGCTACACACTGCATGGGGGAGGGCTGTCATGGGCACAGCAAGTGGTCATGCACTAATTGGAGGCAAGCAGTTTTCTGCACGCTTTCCAAAATGTGACATGATGTGGGTGTTTTAATATAAAAAGGGTCCCCTCTTTCCATTGGGTCTAATCCTCCTGCCCAATAAACAACCCTCTGGGTCAAGGACCAGGGTTCATGGTTATCACTGGTAGTTAATAAAACTCCAGGTCCCCAGTATCCTCTAGCTTCATCTTAACTTGACAGAATATGATCTCTCCTGGTGAGGGAGACTCTCCAGACCTACTCTGTTTCAGTTTGTCAGTGGCCCTGAGAGTATTTTCCCTGTATTTTGGCCAAACCCCAAAATCCCAGTTCACTATCCTGATCGGAGCCCAGATCTATCCTCTCATCAAACACCTGCCTGTTTTCTTGCAATTCATACCGTAAGATTTTCTCTCAGTCTAGTGAATTTGGCAAAATTGCATGAAGCCTCTGAGGAGTGTTATGTTCAGCAGTGAGATGACTTTGCAAGTTTCTTAGCTGCTCTTGCAGGCACTCAATTGTCTCTTTCTCTGCTTGTTTTTCCTTTCCAGCCGCAATTAACGCAGCCCCTAGAACAGCACAGATGGTTGCTTTTCCTTTCCCCAATCCCAGTTTTCATTCCTTTGCCAAAAGCGTGATCCTATCCACCAATGCCTGCCAATTCTTTGGGCCCAAGCCATGCCAAGAGGAGAGGACAGGGATTTATAGCCCTTCAATTTCTCAAGGAGGGGCTTCTCTGCTATTGTTGGATCCCCAAATCGATCCCGACAACAACTGTTACACAATACAAAAGGGTTACTCTAAAGTATTCGGCCTAGTGTGTATTTACGGACCCAGTGTGGATCTTTCCAAGAAGATCCATTGTCCTCTCCTCCTGTCAGGCACTTCCTTAAAGAAGGGGCCATGTTAAGGGCCCTGATCCCTTCTGGTTGGTTCAGTATCACAAGGGCATCCTGTCCGTGACGACAATTTAGAAATGCTGCAGCCCAAAAGAAGCTGTTCAAAACAGCCTCCCTCCCCTTGGGACTTACGACCAAGTTTGAGATACCCTTGTACTGAATTGAGGTGAAACACCACCAGCCAACCCACTTAACAATTTATTAATACAAAAGACATGGCAAGTGGTTAGATACAAATACTCAATGGCAACTTCTTAACTAGGTAAACAAGTCCCATGCTTACTTGGAGCTAGTTACAATTCACTAAAGAAAGGAGAAGAGAGAAAGAGAGAGAGACAGAGACAACTTGTCTGTTAGATTTCCATTCCCTTCCTTAATACAATGCTTAAGGAACCATCCTGGATCTTTGTGGCCAGCCCAAGTAATTAAGAACCTGGGCGTCACAAGGATGAGGCAGGTCTTAATATTCAGAGCATATCCACGTCTGTACTTATCACTGTAAGATGTTTCAAGGCTCCCAACAATGTACATTTTCGGTTACAGTCCCTGTATACGCACAAGACTAGTGAAATACTCAAGCTGTCTGAGAGAGGGTATTAACATAGCCAAAAGCTTCAGCATGATGAGGTTCTGCAAAATCAAGTTCTTTCACAAAACAGTTTTTATTAACCCTGTGTTCCACCTTCCTGCATGGAGACTCCATAGGAGACAAGAGGACGGCAGAGTTTGGATCACTCGGAGTTAAGTCCACTAGGGTAGCAGAATCATGGACGCTTCCAAGAGAAATTTCACCCAATTCCTTCAGTGAAGCAGGTGGGATTAGAGGCCAGGAGTCTCGAGCTCTGAAGATGTTCTGAATGAGCTACTCCACATCTAGGCTTTATGGCACCAGGTCAGTCGGGATGGCCTGTTCCACCACCACCTTGCTGATTTTCTCCTCCTCCTGAGAAGAAGTTTGTTTTTCATCCAGAACATTTTCAAGCATCTCTTGATACTCAGAAGAACTGGAGGGAGCTGGTTCACTCAACCCAGAAGTTGTGGCGGTCAAATGCTCTTCAAATGAATCAGTCCCGTTAGCGGTGTCCTCATTAAGAAGCAGCCCACTGCCTGCCACCTCCTCCAGAGCTTGGTCCTCCGTGGTGAGGCTGCCTGGCATCGTGGCACACAATGCTAATGACTTCCCCTCTGAGTCCCACATGGACTCCAGGCACTGCTCATCTCTCACAGAGCTCTTCTGAGCCATCCCCATGCCCTGCAGCAAAGCTTCCAGCTTCTTGTTTGCAATGCTTATGTCTATGAAGTATTTCTGAAATTTTTTCTCTTTCTCAGCCAAGCTGTTTCTCATGCTTTCAACAGCCTGCTGGAGTTCGTGGCTTTCCCTTCTCGCTTCCCAGAAGTGCAGCTCCAGCTCCACATGCTTACACTCTTCCTCAACCCAGTCTTCCTTCATCCGTGCCAGCTGAGCCTTGAGCTCTTCTATTTCTGTTTCCCTGCAGCAAAAGCAAAATGCAGTGGCAGTGCTGTGGACGGTCAGTGAAAGAGTGCAGCGCTTGCCGTCTGGCCTCCTGCCTCGCCCTGGAGGTGATGGGAAGCGGCTGCCCGGATGCGTCCCCCATGCCTGCCAGCAGCTTGGCACCTGCAGCCAGAGCCAACACGGGCCTCGGGCACAGGACGGCTCGGGGCTGCATCCCCCCGCCTTGCTTTGCACCCACCCAGCCCCGCGTGGGGCCAGGGGCTGCTGCCTTGGCCTGCGAGGAGTGGGGAGAGGGGGCCCCCACGTGAGATCCAGCCCGCACAGATGCGGAGGTCGGGCGATGCGAGCGGGACCAAGAGCTCCCTGGGCCTCTGGCCCTGGGGCTCCGTGCAGAGCCCGCTTTGTGCCCGCCTGGGTTGTGTGTCACTGCTTCTCTTCGCATCCATACAAAGGGCTGTTGTGAACCATTCAGTCCCCAAGGGGAAAAACCACCAGTGGGCATGCTGGTGTGTGTAAGAGCTTTTCTTTCGCTAGGAGAGAAGGGGGACATTGGTAGCCATCTGTCTCTGAGCGAGGTGGAACAGGAGATGGAGCAAATACATGCTCGCAGGTAAAAACCGCTTGATGTAGAAAAGGTCTCAGTGCTAAATCAGACTGGTAAAAAACTATCCTTTAAAAATATTCTATTGGGCAAGTTCAAAAAAAAGGGAAAAGAGACAGACAGCCGTATTCTTAACTAAGCCGCATGGTACGTATGCACTGAGCATCACGATGAAACCTGAAACAACTAATCAGTCTGATCATATTTCAGATTTCTTCATGAAATCTTTATATGGTCAGAAAATGAGAAAAAAGATCATGGATTCCCACCCCAAAACGCTCCTGAGTAAATCATTCTAACTCTGGTTTCCGAAGTGAAATATACCTTTCTTGAAGTTTGCTCTCAGACTCCTTCAGCTTTGTTTTCAAATGCTGTACTGTAACTTCTTTCTGCTGCAGATGACTCAAGTACTGCTCTCGGTTTTGTGGCTCAATGCCGTGGTTGTCACCACAAGAAATGTATCTCCTTGATCGCCTGGAAAGGGAAGAAACCCGAACTGTCACAGAACATCACTCCTAGAGGTCTTCAGTCTTGCCAAAAAGAAAGACTTCCCATAGACTGATACAAAGCTTGACTCATCTGGGGCTCCCCAGTGTCCTCACAAGTGGCTCCTCTGGCAAATCAACATCCTTGAGGAAACAGCTAGTTTGTGGCTGTCGTGCAGAGTTTACTATCTGCTGTCCTTGGTTTCAGTGCCATGCCATCAAATGTGACATTTAACTTTAAAATACTTTTACAACAACAACTTTTTAGAACTAAAAAACCTTTTTTTTTTTTTTTTTCCTCCAAATACAGCTCTTTTTTTGTTTCTTTCTTGTATCACAGTTCTCATCTGTGTTAGTGTTGCCTGAGAGCATAGTGTTACCCAAATTGTTTTAACACTCACAATACTGATACTGTATGTATTAGCTGCAAGACCAGACCTAGTCATCTACCTCTGCACTAGCAACACTTGCACTATCCCGGAAAAAACTGCTGTGCTTACTCGAGAGAAAAAGAAGATCTTTTGCTTCCAGCAGCAGACATGGGCACTTGATGCGCTGAAATAGTGCCTGTGCTGCTTGAAGAGATGAAATTGGCTTCACTCCCTGGAAAGACAAACACAAAGACTGTTTTCAAAATAACAGCAAATCACAAGCATTCTCCCTTTGTGCCCTCCCTTTGAGAGAGGGCCTCACTGTGTAAAAACGTCCAGTAAAGCCATTAGAAGCAGCTGGAAAAGTGGAGAGAATTCAGTTGTAATGCTCACTGTTGGAAGGACCTGCATGTTTAAGAGACTGAGATTAATTTATCCTAGAAACCTTTAACTCACAGCTACGTATCTACTTCCCATCTTTAACAGCATAAGCAGTGTGTTTCCAGGAAGCACTAATGCTGCTTCTATTCTATTTAATATGAGGTTGCTCCTGCGAGGTTGTTTTTGTATTCTCCCTCTGCCTCTGTCTCAATCTCTCCATGACCATGAGGTCTAAAGTCAGTGGAAGAAGCTGAGGATGTGCCTGGGCATGCCGAGAAGCAGGTCGGCTTGAAAAGCACCCAACAGCTCGGTGCCTGGCTCCTCTCTAAGACCAGGGTGGGTGTTTCACACCGCACCAAAGATATCAGGGTCCACACAGGAGCAAGCTGAGGAAAGCTCCCTTCTGCTGCCTGATTTACTGGGGAAAGGATCCAGCTGGGATTTGCAGGGCTTACAAAGCTTACAATGTGTTGGCTAAAGGCACTTATCACGCACCTGGAAGTGCTGTGATAGGTCTGCATCGTTAGTACGCGTGAACAAACTAAATCTACTTTGTGGTTAGTGCATCCAGGCATTCAAACAGGGAGGAAGCACTAGATTGACTTCCTCCTTCTTGCCCTTCCAGGTGACCTCAAGGGCAGGCTTACCACGTGGCAGTTTTCTGATCAGAGACCCAGCCTGGATTGTCCAAACCCTGTAGGATCAGTGCATAACCCTGATCCCCCCCCCCAAAAAATTCCTACCAGGTTTTCCCCCTTTTTCTTTTTTGGACAATCCAGACTCCTTTTAACGTTTGAATCATAGCATTCATAAAGCATTTCCACACAGACCCCAATACCATCATGACAATCACAATGACAATCAGCATTGCCAGTCTGTGCATCAACAAAGCTTTCAGCCACCCCGTAATTTCCAAGTTTTGTAGATTTGCAACCATCATCAGTCCATTATCCAAATTCCCAAGTCTCGTAACCAGTCTGTCAGTCCATGTTCCAATCTTATGCAGTCTTATGTAGCAAGAAAACCATCCTTACAGTTTTAAAAGTGTCCGCAATTGTAACAACAGAGTATGCAATACAGAATGTAATACAGGTTTCACCATGCTATGTTCTAAACATTGCAATGAACCCACAACATACAATGAATCTGATAGTATATGAACAAGTTTTGATACCAGTGTCGATGTTGAAACACCATACAATGAACCTGATACTACATGAACAAGTTTTTGATACCAGTGTTGATGTTGAAACACCAAAATGACCGTTCAGAGTTGTAAAGTTCGTAAGGAGTCTCCAGACCCCCCGAGGAGAATTTTGTGATCTTGAGTTCCCAGGTGTCCCCCATTCGTTGTCACTACCGGGCAGGCCAACGCTCCAGCAGCATGCCAGTCCCCTTCTAACAAGGCATCACGAATCACCCCACTCCATCGGGACTGAGCTAAAAGCGGAGCTGGTTCTGATAAAGGTGATGGGAGTGGGTGTGGTGGGGGCTGCCGGCAGCGTTTCCTCTTCTTGTAATTGTAAATGCAGAGTTCTGTTCTGTAGCTCAACTTCTGTAATTTTCTTTCAAGTTCTTGGACTCTGTCCCTGTCCCTTACCGATGTGTGACCCTGTTGCTTTAATTCGGACAGAGCCGCCACTTTTCTCTCCGACTCAGACGCTGACGCGCTGTCAGGGGCGGAACCATCCGAACGGTGGGGGGGCGGGCAGAGGTTATGGTGGCACGCCGCTCCACCCGGTACCCCCGCACCGCCTGATTTCTCTGCCGCTTCTTGCACGGTGGAGCAAACAGGAATACTTGGTGACATGCCCTTAATAGAGCAGAGCTGTTGATTACACCCGAAGAAGGTGGCTAATTGTGACGGACGGTTGGTTTCGGCAGGGACCGGTGGGGATGGTACAGCGCTGACAGCCGCCATAGCAGCAGCAGCTACTTTCTTTTCTGCTTGCATCTCCCCCAGAGCTTTTACGATCATTCGCCAGACCACCCCGTGCTGTCGTGCTTCACTGCCTTTATTGCCTCCAGTGATAGTCTCGTCCCACAATAAATCACCTACTTCGCGCCACTCCTGTTGGCTACATATTAGCGAGGGGCCATCGTCCCTCTGCCCCTCCGCCTCTGAGGTAGGGGGGGGTGGGGGGGGGGCATGACTGTAAAGATACTGGGGGGGGGCTGGCCTCCGGACTTTCCCTATTCACATTAACTGTAACTGGCCCTCCTGTTGATGGTACAGGAATACGATCAATGTCAAAAAGCATAGATGCGGATGCCTCACTATCTGGGGTAACAGTGGAACTTTCCCCCCCAACTCTGCAGTTGCCACAGCTGCAAGGTTCTTTTCAAGCTGATACCTCTTAATATTATTCACCACCTCCCGCCATGGTTTCATCATTTTCCTTGCAGCTTTATCGTCATCAATTACCATATCCCATAAAACATCACGTAACCGTCTCCACTCGTCGACATCAAAAAGAGAATTAGGGTCCTGAAAACATCCTTTGACCCGTCCTAATGCTACTAAACCCGCGAGTGATTTTATACAATCCACTCCCCGCTTTTCTAAAAAGCGCTGTAATAAATCCAGGGCTACCTCCTGTTCCATCTTGTCAACCTGGTGCTCCTTGTTTAAGGCACCTCCAGTGCTGTGCTCCCTGGATAAGGCACAGTACCGTTACTGCCGACCCGCCCCTGATTAAGGCACCGTCGGCCCTTTGCTCCCTGCTTAAGGCAAAAAAAATACTCCCGCCGGCTTGTGCTCCCTGTTTAAGGCACTAAAAATACTCCCGCCGGCTTGTGCTCCCTGTTTAAGGCACTAAAAAATACTCCCGCCGGCTTGTGCTCCCTGTTTAAGGCACTAAAAAATACTCCCGCCGGCTTGTGCTCCCTGTTTAAGGCACTAAAAAATTACCCCCTTTAATATGTTGCTGATGCTCCGTGACTAAGGCACCAGGTGCAGCTCTTGCCAGCAGCCCTTGCAGAGAGCGACCCTCTATCTCGGTTCAGGTCCTCGGAACGACCTGTCGGAGGCCCACTGTCCGATCGTTCTTGATTCGGCTAGGCGCTGCTGTCTCTGATACTTCCCAGCGTTTGTTTCTGCCGCCGCTGTATGCAGCACCTTTCTGTGTCAGCTTCCGTCGCCCCTCTGCGTCAGTTCCGGCGCCCTCCCCGCTTCCACTTCCGGGGCCACCCTGGGCTCGCCTCCAGCGCCCCCTCGCGTCCGCCCCCGGGGCCGCTCAGTGTCCACCTGTGGCGTCCCTTCGCGTCCGCCCCCAGGGCTGCCGCAGTCGGCTCCTTACCACGTCAGCTCCGGTGTCTTTCTGCTTCCGTTCGTGGGGACACTCACTTCTGGTCTCGGGGCCGCTCTGCCTCTGCTCTCCGGGGCCGGTCACCTCCGTTCTGCAGGGCCGGTCTGCCTCTGCTCTGCGGGGCTGGTCACCTCCACTCTCGGGGCCGCTCCGCCTCCGTTTCTCGGGGCCGCTCCGCCTCCGCTCTCGGGGCCGGTCCAGCCGGCTTCTCTCCGCGTACTCCCCGGGGCTGCTGGGGCCGGCACCTCTCCGTCTCAGCTCGTGGACCCTGAACGTTGCTGTATTTGGTGTTTCTCCGGGTCCGTTCTCAAATTCCTCGGTCGTTGCTGTTTTTTTTTTTTTTTTCTGGGTCCGCCGCTCCGTCTGTGTTATTATTCTTCTATGCAGGTCCCTGTTCGGGCGCCATCTTGCGGAGCTGCGGACGAACGACACGCCGAGACGGGTTCAGTGTGGGTGATAGAGCATCAATCAACGTGTGTCTTTATTGGTCCAGGGTACATATATTTATCCAGACAATGATAATTATTATGCCTACTAGTGACTAGCTGATTGGCTTAAGCTCCAAAGGTCGTATTCGCACGGTCCACCCACCTGCAGTTAGCTTACAGCACAAGCCTCTCACAACACTAAGTTTCTCATGCTACTATTTCTGATTCCTGTTGACTTGTTTTCGATACACGACAGTACCGTAACACAATGTTTCTCAGACCACCGTTATCATAACACTAGGTTTCTCAGACCACTATTCCTAATTCCCCTTAACCTGTTTTCGACACACCACGGTACACAGGGCTGAAGCGTCCTTGACATTCCTCCTGTATCAGCAGCTGCCAGCAGCTGCAGGCAAACCCTAGTGAGTCTCAGCAATAGCAGCTAGAGCAGGCTCTGATCATACAATTGCTCGGTGGGCTCAGGACCCTTGTCTCTGAGCCATTCTCCAACAGTTCCCCCTTTTTCTTTTTGTATGAGCAGAGCCTGCGCTAACGTTCGTTCAAAGATTTTCTTAATACATGAAAAGGCACAACTCAGGCATGCAGGCTTACAATCTACTGGCTAAAGGCACAGGAACCTTGTCTCTGAGCCATTCTCCAAAAGAAAGGGATTGCTATGTGCAGCATGGTAGTTTGGAGGAAACAGTGCTGTACAGAGAATATCGTCCGTGTAGGTGCTTTCTGTGAGAAATTTATCTTTGGGACTAAAGTGCTATTCTGGCTCTGCTGAAGATTTGTGTGTTCCCAGTGAAAGGAAGCAGCTAGAAAGGGATTGCTCTGTGCAGAAGGTATTTTGGAGGAAACAGTGCTGTACAGCGACGATCGTCCATGTAGGAGCTTTCTGTGAGAAGTTTCACTTTGGGGCTAAAAGTGCTATTCTGGCTCTGCTGAAGATTTGTGTGTTCCCAGTGAAGGGAAGAAGCTAAACAGGGATTGCTATGTGCAGCATGGTAGTTTGGAGGAAACAGTGCTGTACAGCGACGATCGTCCATGTAGGTGCTTTCTGTGAGAAGTTTCACTTTGGGGCTAAAAGTGCTATTCTGGCTCTGCTG